TTGTTAGGATTTTATCAGTTGCAAATAAGAGCAGCTCAATTCAAATAAGCTTAAGCAAAGAGGTTAATTATTGGTTCATGTTACACCAAAGTTTGGGATGAAATTGGCTTAATTTATAGCTGGTTCCAGGTCCTCTCCATTGACCTCACAGTTATGTGCCCTGAAGGGGGTGACCTCCCTCTCTTTCTCCACATGGCCGGCGGGATGGCGACCACCGCCCCGTGATCAGCTCTTCTACGTGGCAAAGCGGCACTTGGGGCAGAGTCTCCTCACTCACCACCCTCCCATCGCTGCTCTGTTGCACGGACCCGAGTCTTGAGATAACGGACCAAGAGAAGAGCAGCTGCAGAGGCCCGAGGCAGGAACAAGCTGCTGGAGGAATGGCGGAGGGTGGCCTGCGGCAGGGCAAAGGTGGAGACTGGGAGATGTCTGTGGAGACCGTCCTCGTCCTCAGTGTCCAGGCCAGGGGCCTGACGGGGCTGTGATTAGCTCCGACAGTGCTGCAAGTCTTAATCAGATTTGTGGGATGTTGAAAATAATCATGATAGTGATATAAATCAGATGAGCAGTGGTCATTCCTTTGGGCTCTCTCATGTCCCAGGAACCTCATTTCATTGATGGTGGGTCTCCACCCGCACTCCTGATGTTCTGTTCTCCACCTCACAGCCAGACAGATCCAATTAATTAAGACCATTCATAATCCACTCACTTCAGCGGGTAAAAGCTGAAGTCCTCACAATGACTGTCCAGCCCTACACAAACTGGCCTGGCTCCCATCCCTCCTACTCTCCCTCACTCCACTCCAGCCACACTGGCTTCTTTGCTGTTTCTTGAACAAGATCATCATGCGCCTGCCTCAGGACGTTTGCACTGGCTCTGGATTGGGCCTCTGCCTGGGATGCTCTTCCCCCAGAAGCTCACAGGGCTCCCTCACCTCCTTCAGGTCTCTGCTCCGATGTTGCTTCCTTAGAGAGGCCTCCCCTGACCACCCTCAAGTAGCACCTCCCTCTGCAGGTCATTCTCCACTTGTCTTTACAGCCTGTATCACCACCTGACAATTGCGGGTTTAATGCGGTTCTTGTCTGGCCTCCTCCGGGGCCATTCCTCGTCCTGGGTTGGCTCTCCTGGGAGGAACTGAGTCCTGGGAAGGCTGAGTTGGGGGAGGGGGTTGTGGAGTTCAGGCTGTCTCTCCCTGGAAGTCCCTGTACCCCCACACCAGCTTGTGGGGCCCACCCTTTCTGCCCACTCCCCCATGCACTTAAAGATGCTCCATCCTCTCCTAGAACAGAAGGTGTTGGACCCAGGGCAGTATCTGCACATAGTATCTGGCAAACACGGAGGAGGAGGAAATAACGTCCAAGAAGTCGGCAAATCTAAAATCATAGGGAAATAACTGGGACGCCCGTCTGGCCTGCCGCGTGGCCCACGGCTTGTAATTCTCATCATAAAAGTGCCAACTCCGCGCATGCGCAATTCCGACTGCGGGAGTGGTTTTGGGTTGATGGGATTGCCGCACGCTGCCACCAGGGAGCGGCTTCAGCATCCTGGGCTGTGGTGTTCACTGAACGACAACTCCTTTTCTTCTTTACCTTATCTGTAATCCCTACATTCCGAAAGCTCTGAAACACATATCTTTTATAACTCCTCTTCCAGGGGCTCAGCTCCTTCCACAGCTGCAGAGACTCAGGGCAGACTGGGCTCTCGGGGCTCCACTCTTTCTGCAGCAGCAGGGACGACAAACTCCCGCTTCCTCCGGGGCTGCTGGCTGCCGCAGGAGGGACTCGGGGCAGACTCTCTCCTCCCCCAGGGTCTCAGCTCCTCCTGAGCAGGAGGGACTCGGGGCAGACTCTCGTCACACACCCCCTCACTTCCCACCCCTGCTCTGCTGCAGGGACAGGAGGTCACAGAAGGGCAGTTAGCCAACACGCGAGGCAGCGCCGGAGGAGGCCCCGCCCCGCACAGTCAACCTCTGCGTACACGCCCCCTCCCCGAGAATGCAGCCCGGCGCCTGCGCGCCTGCGCGCTGGGGGGTGGGTGGGGGGGCACCCCAGGCCCCTGCGCCTGCGCACTCGACCAGCGCGGCTCTCCTGCGGTCTTGGCGGAAGGGTTCCGTGGACAGACGATCGACCCGCGCCCCGCCCCGCCCACGGCCCGGCTGACCCCCAGCCCTTCTGCCTCTGAGAGCCTGCCTTCTCCTGCTCTGTCGGGTGACGGAACACAGTCCCGCGTCTGTAAAGTAGGATCCCATTTCATTCATGTATCCGTTTACTGGGCCTTTCCTGAGCACCTACTGTGTGCAGAGGCCTGGGCTGGGGGAAGGGCGGGGGGCGGAGCCAGACTGTGTGGTCCACGACCCTTGGCGCTCTAGGGCCGGGGCTGGGCATGTTCAACTACGTATTCATTCAGTCACTCTATTTCTTGAGGACCAACTGTGTGCTGAAGCTTGAGCTGGGCAATGTCTGGGGCACAGGGAGTACCAACTGTGTGGTCCCTGACTCTGAATGACTCCAAGGGCTAGTGCTGGGGACGTACAATCAGTCATTCAGTCACCCGGCACTTCATGAGGACCTACTGTGTGCTGTTGCCTGGGTGATGTCTGGAGCACAGGGGAGACTTAGACACTGTGGTTCCTGACCCTGCAGGGCCCCAGAGCCAGGTCAGGGATTTTTCACTTATTCATTCATTCACCTGATATTTCCTGAGGACCTAGTGTGTGCCAAGGCCTGTGCAGGTGACACCAGGACAGAAGAAAAAAGGCAGACAGATTGTCTCCTCCCAGGCCCCCCACCGGCTTCCTTGGTAGGGCTGAGTTGAGGGAGTTGGTGGGCAGAGAGACAGATGTGTCTGTCTCTCCCCCTGCCTGTCTTAGCTCCCCCCTCAGTTATACACATTAAAGATCATTTGTGTGAGTTATTTTCAACGCTTGACACATTTTCTGATAACTTACGTCACTTCTTCAAACTGTTTTTTGGGGGGGCAAGGAAATCTGAATATGGACCGGATGCTGGATATTAAGAAATTATTAATTCCGTTAGGTGTGTTAGTGGTGATAATGGTATTGTGGTTGTTTATAAGATACTTCATTTATCTTAGAGATGCACTAGTGGTGAGTTGGTATCATGTCTGCAGTTTACTTTAAAATAGACCAGGAAAATATACATATAGACACATTTTCATGACCTACTTTTAAAAGCAAATATATATTGTAAAATATGGTAAGTTTTATTACTCAAAATATTTTTAGGTATTTATTTTTATTAAAATTATTATTTTTTAAAAAGCTATTGAATCTAGGTGGACATATGGATGTTTATTGTACTTTACACTTTTCTGTATAATTGAAAAATCTCACAACAAAAATTTTTTAAAACAAGGGGGGTTCTTTTTTATGCAGAAGGGGCCTGTGTGGTCCTATGACACAGGACAATTTGCTGGTCAACCTTGTAAGAAAGGCGTTCTTAACTCATAGTTGGAAAATACTTTTCAGTGATTTTTCTTTTTTGGAGCCAAACAAATCTCAGTGAGATCAGAGCAATCATAAGTGATTCTATTACCTAAGAGACCTTACGCCCAAATGCTGTGAAATGAGAATCACTGTCTAATGATACAGGCTGCCTCAGAATATAAGATAATGACTAAATGCAGGATGGAAAACTGCGTGCCATGGGCACCATTGGTATACTAATGTCTACTATACATCTTTTTAGCACATTTATGATCTAAACAAATATTCATAAAAATACGTGCTTATATATGCATAGACTATGCTGGAAAGAGACCCGGAAACTGTTAAGAATCATGGCCTCTAGGGAGGGGAACTTGCTGGCTGGGGGAGAGGGAGGATAGTGGCGAGATTAATTTTCTTTTTAATTTATAACTTGAGGACCCATGAATGTGTTACCCCTAGAATCATTCTGTAAAGATCATACTGTGTGATTAGAACTTCTATTTCACCGTGATGGTAGGTGGGTTGCCAGAATGATTCCCACATTTCACTCTTTCCTGCGGCCACACCCTTGGGGAGGCCCTTCCTACACGGCCCCTGGGCTTGGCAATGAGGCTGGCTTTGGCCAGTGGGATGAGAAGCAAACTTGACATAATCAGAGGCTTGAAACTGTGCTTACATGTGTCCACTCTCAAATTCCTGCCACCATTATGAGGACACACCCAGGTTAGACTGAGTCTCGACGGGGGGTGCCTGAGTTGGCCCAGCTGAGCCCTCCTGGACCAGCTAGCCCTCACCCCACCCACAGCTGACCACAGACTCAAGACTGAGTCCAGACAAGATCAGTGGAGCCTGGCCCAGACCTTCAGAAGCACCCAGCATGGGAAACGTTAAGTGGACAACTGCGTGCTGGGTGATTTGTTACACAGCCACAGCTGACTGACACAACCATTAAAGTCAGGACTTTGAGTTAGGGGGCAAAAAAGCTGGAGGGGGGAGGTGTTTTCTCATCCTGAAAATAAAACTGTGGTCTAGTCTAAAAATCCCCTTGCAGGCTGTCAGGGGAAAGGCACTCCCTTTGAGAACAACTTTTCCTGCTCTGGTTTTTCCAGCTCATTTTCACTGATTTCAGAGGCACTGTTTCAGTCCTAGGGGATACACAGTTCTTCCTCAGACCCTGCTCCCTCAGTTAATAAGCACACCTCACCAAGGGAGCTGAACCTTTTATTCAGTTACATTTATGGAACAAACGCGTGCTCAATCATAACATTGATTAAAAGGCCAGCCAGAGACCCCCGATTCCTCTTCCGGTCTACTGTCATGGGTCACATTTATAGTTCTGCACCAGGGATGCAGTGGGAGGGAGTCCGGCAGATGTGGGGTCCAGTCCCTTCCCTGTGACTTCCTCCCTGTGTGATCTCGGGCAAGTCACCGAGCTTCTCTGAGCCTGCGTTTCCTCACGGGCGACGTGGGGATATCAGGGTATCTCCCTCTGGTGCCGGGAGGGTGGAGATGAGGTGTGCATGTGCTCAGCCGAGTGACCAGCTACAGGAGGCGCCAATAAACGTCAGCCTTTATCCTGCTGCTGGTCCACGGCGGTGTCCGTGGGGTCACTGCTGCCGACCGGCTTCTCCTCCTGGTGGGGGCTCAGGTGTCGAGTCAGCTGTGGCAGCCCGGCAAAGGCGACCCCGCACCGCTCACGTGCGTAGGGCTCCCCGTCGGCGTGCGTCCTCTGGTGCCGGATGAGGGCCGAAGAGAAGCTGAAGGCCTTGCTGCAGCCGCTGCACTCGTAGGGCTTCTCCCCGGTGTGCACGATGTGGTGCTGGATCAGGTACGCGCGGTTGCTGAAGGCCTTGCCGCACTCGGGGCACGCGTAGGGCCGCTCCCCCGTGTGTGTGCGCCGGTGCAGCGTCAGCGAGGAGCCCTGGCTGAAGGCCTTGCCGCAGTCCACGCAGCGGTAGGGCTTCTCGCCCGTGTGGATCTTCTGGTGCTCGAGGAGGGAGGACACATGGCTGAAGGCGGCCCCGCACTCCGGGCACTTGTAGGGCTTGGCGCCCGTGTGCACGAGGTGGTGCTGCGCGAGGTGCGAGCGGTTGCTGAAGGCGCGGCCGCAGTCCTGGCACGCGTAGGGCCGCTCGCCCGTGTGCACGCGCTGGTGCTGGCTCAGGTGCGAGACCTGCGTGAAGGCCTTCCCGCACTGCCCGCACGCGTACGGCTTCTCGCCGGTGTGGATGCGCAAGTGCTCGGCCAGCGAGGCGCTCTGGCTGAAGGGCGCGCCGCACTCGGGGCACGTGTAGGGCTTCTCGCCCGTGTGCACTCGCCGGTGCTGCGTGAGGTGCGCGATCTGCGTGAAGGCCTTGGCGCACTGGCCGCACGCGTAGGGCCGCTCGGCCGTGTGGGTGCGCTGGTGGCGCAGCAGTGCCGAGGAGAAGCGGAAGGCCTTCTGGCACTGTGCGCACGCGAACGGCTTCTCGCCTGTGTGGATGCGCTGGTGCTCCAGCAGCGACGCGCGGTTGCGAAAGGCCTTGACACACTGGCCGCACGCGAAGGGCCGCTCGCCCGTGTGCACGCGCCGGTGCTGGGCCAGGTGCGTGGGGCGCGCGAAGGCCTTGCCGCAGTCGGCGCAGCGGTGCGGCCGCTCGCCCGTGTGCACGCGCCAGTGCGACGCCAGGTAGGAGCCCTGGCTGAAGGCCTTGCCGCACTCGGGGCACGCGTAGGGCCGCTCGCCCGTGTGCACGCGCCGGTGCAGCGTCAGGTGGACGCTCTGGCTGAAGGCCTTGCCGCAGTCCGCACAGGCGAACGGCTTCTCCCCGGTGTGCGTCCTCTGGTGCAGGGTGAGCGCTGAGCAGTAGCTGAAGGCCTTGCCGCAGACCTCGCACTTCCACGGCTTCCGGCCGCCACCGCGCTCCTCCCCGCCGGCACCTGCCTGCTTTGGCTTTGGGCTCTTTCTCGGCGCGCCGCGCCTCTGGGGCCTGCCGCCCACCTGGGTGATGGGGGCACTGGATCTGGTTCCTGGGATTCCGCCCAGCTCGTCACGCTCCTGGATGCTGTCCCCGGCCTGGGCCTCCTCGTGCACCTCGGCCTCTTGCTTCAAACAGCCTTCCTGTGGGCCCCTGAACTGGCCCTCGTGTTTCCAGGTTTCTCCCAACGTGGAGCCCTGGGGGGCGGCCACGGTCAGGAGTCCTTCCATCCCAGCTTCCCGAGCTGCTGCCTCGATTTCACATCTCTGCTGGATCTGAGAGAAAGAAAAGAAAAAAACCAAAAGCTTTGTCGTTTGTCCCGGGCTGTAAAGGACTTAGGATCTCCGGACTAGTGACAGTGAGGTCAGGTCATTCTTTGTCGTGGGGCCATGCTGTCCATTGTACGATGTTGAGCAGCATCCCCGGCCTCCGCCCTCCAGATGACAAGAGCACTCTCCCCCCACCACTCCCCCAGTTGTGACAACCAAAAATGTCCCCAGACATTGCCAAGTGTCCCCTGGGGGGCAAAACCACCCCTGGCTGAGAACCACTGACTTAACGGAACTGAAAACAATTTTAAAAGATCTCTGAAAAAATATGAATCTGTCAGCTCTTAAATATAGGCTTGTAACCTGGTGCTATGGACCAGATTGTGTCCCTCCAAAATTCATACATGGAAGCCCTAACCCCCAAAGTGATGGTGTTCAGAAGTGGGGCCTTTGGGAGGTGATTAGGTTTAGATGAGGCCATGAGGGTGGGGTCTCATGATGGGATTAGCATCCTCCTAAGACAGGGAGACAGCACAGCTCCCTCTCTAGCACGTGAGGACACAGCCAGAGGGCTGCCGCCATCTGCAAGCCAGGAAGAGGATTCTCACCAGACCCCTGGCCGTGCTGACGCCTGGATCCCAGACTTCCAGCCTCCAGAACTTCGAGAAAATAAATTTCTGTTGTTTAAGCCGCCTAATCTATGGTATTTTGTTAGGGCAGCCTGAGCTGTTACACACAGAGAGACAGTTTTCTTTTCCAGAGAAAAATCAGTCCGCTCCATACACAGAGGAAAACAGCCCCCAAATTCCATGCATAATCTAGTGCTGGTGGGAGCAGGCACTGCAAAAGCCACTGGGCTTTTCTAGGAAAGCTGAAGACACACATCCCCTGTGGCCCAATAATTACATTTTCTGGAATGTGAGCAAAAGAAACGTGCACATGTGTGTACGAGGAGGCCTGTCTGAGAGTGTTTGTAACAGCCAAATTCTAGAAACAATCCACCTGTCCGTTAGCAAGGGACTGGACAAACGAGGGTATATTCGCACAAGGGAGTATCTCACAGCAAAACATGAATAACCGTCAGCTGCTGCACCAGCTCAGAACCTAAATACACTGTTGGCAAACAAGGTAAGATGCACAAGAATTTACCAGGGATGCTGCTATCTAGGCTTAAAGACAGGAAAACTAAACCATTTAGTTTTTAGGGATTATGCGCACATGGCAAAAGTTCGCTGCTCCGCCCTGGCCTGAGGACCAGCAGCATCAGCATCGCCTGTGACAGATGCAGAGCTTGGGCCCTCCCCAGGCCTGGTGACTTGGAATCTGCTTTTTTTTTTGTGAGGAAGATCGGTCCTGAGCTAACATCTGCCAATCCTCCTCTTCTTGCTGAGGAAGACTGGCCCTGGGCTAACATCCGTGCCCATCTTCCTCCACTTTATATGGGACGCCGCCACAGCATGGCCTGACAAGCGGTGTGTCGGTGTGCGCCTGGGATCCGAACTGGCGAACCCCAGGCTGCCGCAGCGGAGCGCACTCACTTAACCACTTGTGCCACCAGGCCGGCCCCTGGAATCTGCTTTTTAACAAGAGTCCCAGATGATTCGTGGGCACGGGAACGTCTGAGAGGCACTGGTCTCGGCCACTCTGAAGCCAGCACGGGAATGTCATTACGGTGGCTGGCAATGCTAACCAGCACTGTGGAACACACAGCTATGTGCCCAGCACCCCTTCAGCTCTTCCCATGGATTAGTTCATCAATTCCTCACGGAGGCTCCCAGACGTGGCAGTGCCAGGGCCCACAGGGGGCCGCCTGGCTCCAGAGCTCTCCCTCCCCTGCTTAAAATCACTAATGGCTTCACAAAAGCCACACTCCTCTCCGCAGCCTGCACGGCACCTCCCTGACCTCATCCTCCACAACACCCTCGCCTGCCCTGGGCTCGTGCTGCTCCAGCCACAGGCCTCCTTACTGGTCCACAAACATGCCAGGCACGCTCCTACCTCAGGGCCTTTGCACTGGCTGTTCCATCTGCCTGCAACGCTCTTCCCCCAGCACAGGCCTCACTGAGAAGACGACTTCTGAGCAGAGACCTGAAGGAAGGGACGGAGTGAGTGTTCTGGGCTGCAAGCACAGCAGGTGCAAAGGTCCTTGGGCAGGACCGTGACTGGGGTCAGAGAGGAAAAGTACAGGACTGGGGGGGGGGGCTGCAGCAGAGTGACCGAGGCGGAGAGCAGGGGTCATCAGGTGTGGTGGGGGGTGAGGGTCACGCCATGCAGTGTCTTATGTGCAGCGGGGAGAACTTTGCTGGTGGCAGTCCACCTCCGCGGGCAGCCCTCAGGCCCGCTGGGCCCAGCTGGGTCCCCGGAGCGGGCAGTGGTACCCACCTCGTGGCCTCGGGAGCATCAGATCCTGTCCATGTCACTCAGACTGTGGTCCCCGCTCTGGCCACTGTGCCTCAGTGCATCCAGTTGGCGCTGTGGGAGAAAGAAACAGGGATCATGAAGGAAGATGGTGGGGTAGACGCAGGTGTGTGGAGGAAAAACACAAGGCATTTCCTGGCACTCACACACCCTTACGTTGTGGCAAACAGTTCTCCCCCCACACAAGGAGACAGGCAGGCTTGCACACCTGCATGGCTCCAAGCACACCTGCAGTCACCCTTGTGCATGCACACAGGGTCTCGGGCACACGTAGCTGCACACATGACAAGCTCACACACATCACCCTGCTCCACACAGGCAGGCCATGCACTGGGACACCACCCACAATGGCACACCCTGACACACACATAGTCACACGCAGTGGGCAGGGCTTCACATGTGCTCAAAGTCACACGTGTGCAGGGTCTCCCCTATGCGCAGAAGCACACACACAGCGACGCCATACTTATGCCGTGTCTCTCACAAATGCATCCTGTGACACACCTGCACGGCCCTCCACACGCAGAGTCACGCTCAGGCACACACAGAATGACACAGGCACACCCAGGCCGCCCAGCTCCATGCTGGCAGGCCCATCCTACACAGCTGCACACCCAGACACACGCGTGGAATCACACACCTCACACCCAGGAGAAGAAGATCCACACATGCCCAAAGTCACACATGGGCAGAGGTCCCCAAAGGCACAGACACATGGTCAGTAATGCACACCGCTTCCCCTTCCCGGGCACACGCCGCCGGGGTCAGGCACGTGGAAACACACAGTGACACGTGAGGCAGTCTCACACACTGAGTCGCATGAACAAGTAACACACCCGAAAGGGCACAAACTGATGGAGACACCCACACGCAAACATGCGGGGACGGAATCACACGCAGAGTCACATGCACTGTTGCACGGGCACGCACGTGCAAACACGGTGACGGGACTCATGCACAGGCACATCGCTGGAATAACGAACGTGCGGAGACACACACGCACACTCACTCGCGCACGCGCACACCACACACCGGCGGCCTCGCCTCCCGGGACCAGCTTCGAAGGCCTGGAGCGGCTCCTGCCAGTCTTGTGGGCTCGGTTCACATTCTCCTCTGTCTCCGGCCCAACCTGGCACGCGCGGATCCCCGGTAACCCCTCATCCCGCGGTGGCGCGAACGTGCCGGCCGCACAAGTCAAGGCTGCGGCCACCGCGGAAAAGCCCAGCGCCAGGCCGGGGCGGACTGCGCATGCGCGTCCGGAGAGTTACGGCCGGCAGTCGGCCCCCAAGAACTACAAATCCCAGAAGGCACCGCGTCCCGCCTGCGCAGCGACTGTGGCCCGCAGAGCCTGGGTCACCGAAACTGCAACTCCCAGAAGGCCTTGCGTCTGCAGGCAATGGGGACGACGGGTCCCGGCAGCGGGAGCGGAGGAGGGCAGGAAGGCTGGGGGCGGGGCCTGGGCGTGTCTGCCCCCAGAGTGGTGGGCGGGGACAGCAGTATGGGGGCGGGGCTCTTCTTCCTCAAGGGAAGGGGCAGGGGCCGCAGGCTTAGAAAAAAGAATCTAAGGATCAAAGAGGTTACATTACTTACCCCAGGCCACACAGCACAGAAAGGGTGGGAGGTGGGGTTAGCAGCCTACAGTTCACCATTAATTCATGGAAATCATTTGTCTCAGGAATTTGATGTAATTCCAGTCCAGAGCAAAGATGACAAATCCACTGTCTTGGGCAAATGATTATAACATGTACGTAGGATTTACTATTAGCCAGCTTCCTATGAAATGCTTCCTATGAAGGAATTCTGTTAGCTTTCATAAACTCTTTCCTCGGTCATCAGAAAAATGGGCACAAGATCATTTTAGATAATCGTGAAAGCAGAGAAACATGTGGACAGAGAGTGGAAGACAAATTTATCTCACCAAAATCAACATGCCCTTCACTGTGAGACACAGTATCTTATGTATCCCCAAGGCTACCTGTTAAAGCGACACACACTTGCTTTACACGTCAAATTTTTATTTTATGTGTAGATCTGAAGAGACATTGTGTGTTTCCCCTCATCCTTCTGGAAGCTTCTGGCCTTGTCATGGTAAGAACGTGCCTAGTGCCCCTCCAAGCCTGAGACTTATGAAGAAGAGCCTCCCAGCTAATCCACAGACCCGAGAGTGTGAGAATAAGAGATAGTGGTTTTAAGCCACTGAAGTTTTTTTTTTTCTAGTTTAGTTTTATATTTGACTACAGCCATGTGCCACATAAGGTTTCAGTCAAGGACAGACTGCATATATGACGGTGGTCCCATAAGATGAGTACGACACAGCCTAGGGGTGTAGTAGGCTAGACCATCTAGGTTTGTGTAAGCACACTCCATGATGTTCGCACAACAACGAAATCGCCTGATGATGCCCTTCTCAGAACGTATTGCCGTCGTTAAGTGACACATGATTATATTTTAAAAATATCTCTTACATGTTCCTTACGAACCATGTTGGGAGCTCAGAAAACTGCAGCATTTTTGACCATTAAGAAGCTTTTTTCCCCCCTGGAAATAAGAAGCAGGAATTATTCAAATAGGGGAA